TTGCGCAATATGGCGTTTTCTACACAGAGACCCCACTGTCACTGAGACTTGCAAGGAAAATCGAGAAAATCCGTTTAGCAAAGTTTGTTCTTCGCCATATTCTGAAAGTACATTTCGAGACTTTTCAATTGATGTGCCCCTGTTCTGTGTAGTAAAACTTAGTATATCATTGCAGTACGTCAACAGAGTAATAATTGTATACTTTTTGCTAGTTATAGTAATGCAGACAATTTCCGAATTCAAAATTGAATCCTCAGTTTCTTTGAAATGCGAATGTTATACGCTTCGAAAATTTGACTTCAAAAACTGGTTTACCTTATTTGAATCATGGTACTGCCCATGATGCAATAATAAGGTGATGTATCAAAACAAAAACATTTTTTTTGTCTCGATTATCTGTCACATTTTTCTTTATAATATTTCAAAAACTTGGCAGCATTGCACATCGAATTCAAGTAAAATTTACAGAGTCGCCACTGTCACTGAGGCTTGCAAGGAGAATCGAGAAAATCCGTTTAGCAAAGTTTGTTCTTCGCCATATGGTGTATATATTCTGAAAGTACGTTTCGAGGCCTTTCACTTGATGTGGGTCTCCATACTGCATCCATTTTAGTTTTTGAGCAATATGGCGTTTTCTACACAGAGTCCCCACATTCACAGAGACTTTGAGGGAAAATCGAGAAAGTCCGTTTAGGAAAGTTTGTTCTTCTTCATTTTGAAAATTTTCAACTTTGACAGAACGTATTTTTTTTCTTTTGTTGAAAATAAAAACAAAACATTCAGAAAATATGAAATTTCGAATGTGAACATAAAATATTTGGATTAATTTAAAAAAATGTCAACTTTGTTTTGTGGTTTGTTTTGGGTAATACGACCGTACACAAAATTTTGCAAAAGTGGGGAAGTTGAATTTTTCTGTACGCCCCGTCGGATTATAGGTAAAGGGCTAAGCAGAATGCTCGCGTTGAGCCATCCGTCGCGTTATATGTTATCGAAAATACAACAACCACAAGGAAACGATATGCGCGTGTTATCGTTTCCTTGTGTTTGTTGTATTTTCGATAACATATAACGCGACGGATGGCTCAACGCGAGCATTCTGCTTAGCCCTTTACCTATAATCCGACGGGGCGTACAGAAAAATTCAACTTCCCCACTTTTGCAAAATTTTGTGTACGGTCGTATTACCCAAAACAAACCACAAAACAAAGTTGACATTTTTTTAAATTAATCCAAATATTTTATGTTCACATTCGAAATTTCATATTTTCTGAATGTTTTGTTTTTATTTTCAACAAAAGAAAAAAAATACGTTCTGTCAAAGTTGAAAATTTTCAAAATGAAGAAGAACAAACTTTCCTAAACGGACTTTCTCGATTTTCCCTCAAAGTCTCTGTGAATGTGGGGACTCTGTGTAGAAAACGCCATATTGCTCAAAAACTAAAATGGATGCAGTATGGAGACCCACATCAGGCCTCGAAACGTACTTTCAGAATATATACACCATATGGCGAAGAACAAACTTTGCTAAACGGATTTTCTCGATTCTCCTTGCAAGCCTCAGTGACAGTGGCGACTCTGTAAATTTTACTTGAATTCGATGTGCAATGCTGCCAAGTTTTTGAAATATCTTATGCCGAAAAACAAACTTTGCTAAACGGATTTTCTCGATTTTCCTTACAAGTCTCAGTGACAGTGGGGACTCTGTGTAGAAAACGCCATATTGCGCAAAAACTAAAATGGATGCAGTATGGATACCCACATCAATTGAAAAGTCTCGAAATGTACTTTCAGAATATATACACCTTATGCCGAAAAACAAACTTTCGCCTAACGGATTTTCTCGATTTTCCAGTGACAATGGGGAGTCTGTGTAGAAAACGCCATGTTGTGGAAAAAAATTAAAATGGATGCAGTATGGAGACCCACATCAATTGAAAAGTCTCGAAATGTACTTTCAGAATATACGCACCATATGCCGGAAAACAAACCTTCGCCTAACGGATTTTCTCGATTTTGGTTGCAAGTCTCAGTGACAGTGGGGACTCTGGGTAGAAAACGCCATATTGCTCAAAAACTAAAATGGACGCAGTATGGAGACCCACATCAATTGAAAGGTCTCGAAACGTACTTTCAGAATATATACACTTTATACCGAAGAAAAAACTTTGATAAACGGATTTTCTCGATTTTCCAGTGACAATGGGGAGTCTGTGTAGAAAACGCCATATTGCGCAAAAACTAAAATGGACGCAGTATGGAGACCCACATCAATTGAAAGGTCTCGAAACGTACTTTCAGAATATATACACCTTATACCGAAGAACAAACTTTGCTAAACGGATTTTCTCGATTTTCCTTGCAAGCCTCAGTGACAGTGGCGACTCTGTGTAGAAAATGCCATATTGCGCAAAAACTAAAATGGATGTAGTATGGAGACCCACATCAATTAAAAGGTCTCGAAATGTACTTTCAGAATATATACACGCCATATTGCGCAAAAACTAAAATGGATGCAGTATGGAGACCCACATCAATTGAAAAGTCTCGAAATGTACTTTCAGAATATTTAACCCAGTGGGTTATAATTGTCAATTCCAATGTATATATGTCAAATAAATCCTCATAATGTAGGCTAACCCGATAAAAACTTCTAATGTAAATGCCTTTTTATAAGAACAACAAATGAGGTTTAAGCGGTGTACACACTATCATTTTTGACTGTCAACTTTTTTATCGATTACTGACTGTCCAACAACCATAAATATTTTTGTGGTTGCCTGGTGAATGACAAACATGTGAGGCCACACTATCAAACAAGCAAAATTTGGGCAAGAGTGCCATTAAAAAATGACAGTGTGTACACCGCATTAAATTTTGTATAATCGATTTTTGAATCTACCCATTCAATAGATGGTGCTGACAACAAGTGTTTGCCAGTGCTGCCAAATTTACAGAAAATGTGTATATTTCTGCTTTACTATAGCTCTGTCTGTTTACTCCATATTTGGTAAGAATTGTTTCCAAATGTTACTATAGATGTTGTTTACTCCATATTTGGTGAATTGTTTCCAAATGTTTAGATGTTGTCTGTTTACCCAAAAATCTAGTAAAAGAGAGTCGAGTGAGAGAGCAAGTTTGACAGTTCAACAACAACAAACTTACTGGAGTTTACTGGAAGAATTTTATTCAGTACGATTTTGCAAACTCAGCCAGCTCAGATCAGCTGTTTTATGACCAAATACAAAAATTATTCAAAACATTTTTTTAATTTGCAAAGTTCAAATTACTGAAAATTCGTAAGTAATGCAAATTTTCATTAAATTAGAAACTAATTCCTTATATATTTTTAGGCAAGTTGCAGATAGAGGGCAATGTATTGGTGCAGGAAGCTTACATGTTCCCGGGGAACATACAAAATCAATTTTTCGTGTATTGTTCATTTTATTTTTAATATTTTGTTTGTTTATTTTGGCGAAAATAAAAACGTTTTCTTGAATCAGCTGTTTATTTGCTAAATCTTACTAAATGTTGTCTGTTTACTTTTCTCAGTATTATCACAAAAGAGAGTAAAAACAGCTTACTCTCTGAACTAGAACTTACTGAGTAAATGTTACTAGAAAAGTAACCAGACCACTAATGCACAAAAAAGTGATGGCCAAACAAGTTTTCTCTTTGTCTCTCTATGCGTCAGTCATTTTTGTTGATGATCTCTCAGTTACGCTCTCAAGCACTTACTCTTAATTTAATTCTGTTCAACACTGAACCAGACACACCTAGTATCACATTACACCAAGAGAGAGAGAGAGAGAGAGAGAGAGAGATTATGGTGCGCACCAGCCAGATAGTTTGTACAGAGAGAGAGAGAAAGTATTATAAAACTATCCACTTTTAAACGATTTGATAACAGAAATCCAATAATAGGGTGTTAAAGTACATTTACGTATACGATTTTAAATCGAATCGATTAACGAAATCCAGAAATACATTATAATCATGATCTAAATTTCAATAAGCTGATGTTTGTTAGTATACATACAACATTATTATTTTGCACAAAAATATTTTATAATAAACCTTCATGTTATGTATGATCGGAGGATTCAATCAGTGAGAAAAATATTTTCCTTGAGAACCTAATTCCTTTCAGATATTCATGATTGGGTTGGATCGACAATTTCACAAAAAATTCTGAGATTTTCATTCACAACTTTTTTAATTGCCGATTTATTTAACTGAATTTAAATGTTATTGTCACCCTGTTATTTCGATGACTATTTTGGAGGATTCAATCAGTGAGAAAAATATTTTCCTTGAGAATCTAATTCCTTTCAGATATTCATGATTGGGTTGGATCGACAATTTCACAAAAAATTCTGAGATTTTCATTCACAACTTTTTTAATTGCCGATTTATTTAACTGAATTTAAATGTTATTGTCACCCTGTTATTTCGATGACTATTTTGGAGGATTCAATCAGTGAGAAAAATATTTTCCTTGAGAATCTAATTTCTTTCAGATATTCATGATTGGGTTGGATCGACAATTTCACAAAAATTCTGAGATTTTCATTCACAACTTTTTTAATTGCCGATTTATTTAACTGAATTTAAATGTTATTGTCACCCTGTTATTTCGATGACTATTTTGTTATCGAAAATAAGCAATGTTGTAAGATATGAGGTAGTCGTATCACCACAGCTGTTAGTACAAACTGCTGTCAAACATGTTTTGTCATTGGAAACGCAAAAAATTAAAACCAGAACAATAAATGAAAAAAAATCTGTATTTTTAAGATATGGTTTGATGATGCGTTTTCTAAAATGATTTTTTTTAAATAAAATTGAGGAAACTGCTTCTTTTTCCAAAATATTTTTGACATAGCATTGTTCTACAAATGGTGTTTATTGCAATCGCTTGCTTATGCGGCTACATTATAGAATCACCTTGTTGCTGTATTTAGAGAAACTATCTCCAACTCACATTCCAAACAAAAACAATGAACGGAACAGAGGGTTTAGGCAAATTGACAGAGGAGTCTTTGAAAAGGAAAGAAAAACTAAGGCAACTCAGAGAAAAAGCTAAGAGATTGGAACAAAAAAACACCACTGGAGAAGAAGAAGGTCAATTGGCGAGGTATTTATGCATTTGTAAATAATGATAGATGGCACATTAATTCATGCTATGAATACTCAAATATTAACAAACGCATGATGTTTAATTTACAGGCCGGTATTCAGAAGTTATAGACCACAAAATGAAAACACATTGGGTGAAATTATTCCACAAGAGCCATCTGGCGACATTGAAGAAGCTGTTGGGGAACAATTGAGTTTACTTAAGAGTAATGTTGTTGTAGAGGACATCGATATTGACAATTTAGCTCCACGTAAACCTGATTGGGATCTAAAACGCGATGTTGCAAAAAAGTTGGAACGCTTAGATCGCAGGACTCAAAAGGCAATAGCAGAGTTAATAAGAGAACGACTAAAAAATAACCAGGATGGTCAAGATATTTTCCAAGCTGTAAATGTGGCCACCGCTCATGCAGGGAGTACAAATATTTAAATTCATTGAAAAATTTATTTAAACAAAATAAAAACAAATGTATTGATATAGGCATATCAGTTTTATCCTGTCTTTTTGTGTTCCCTGTCCACAGGTATAATCTTTGTTTGCATAGCAGCAATTTCTGCAAAAAAAATTGAGTTTCAAAATGTATTTGTAATAGAATTCACTTTGAAATAACTGTTAATGGCGTACATACGTTCCGAATATTTTGCATCCAGCGCTGTGGCGTATTTCCTCATTGATTCCAGCTCCTTGGGTATTTCTACCCGCAACGCTTCCACAGTTTGTTTGAGAAATGCTATTTGATCCTCTTGCTGCTTTATTTTAGTATTCTTCGCTGCAATAGAATGCTCTTGTTGTAGTGCAACTTCAGTCCGCCAGCTTATGGCCTTCTTTAGTTTATTCAGTTCTTGACTCTGTTTTAATATAATTTGATTCGCTTTAGAAATTTCCTCAGTGGCAATTTCGAGTGCCTGTCTTTTTGTTTGACTTATTTTCTTTTCAGCTTCTATTTCAGCTACTAATTCTGATTTGTTTTTTTCGTGTCTTTTTATCACATCCTTTAATTCGCTAATCTCCTTTCTGTAGTCCTGCAAATGCATTTCGCGTTTGCGTTCGCTATTTTTTGATGTTGATATCTCCTGCTGAAGTTTTTCATTTGATTCCTTTAATTTGGTCAATTTGGCCTTTAATTCCACTAACTCGTCATTTAAAATTTCATTGCGTTTTCCTTCCTGCCTATTAAAGAATATGAAATAAAAACGTGTATACATATATACATATGAAGCTGAAACTTACATTCTTTCATTAAGTATGGACTGCTTTTCCATAACTATTATATCTATTTGCTTCTGCAGGGAGCTGATGGTGCTCCTACTTTTTTCGCAATCTTGTTGCCGTTGTTCGGTGCAAATCGCAATTTTGTCTTGTAATTGTTGAATTTCATCGGCATGTTTCTGATTTGCAGTCCGGACAGCTTCAATTAGATTTTCTCTTAGATTTTTACATTCTGTATCCAATGTTTCAATTTTTTGATTTCGTGTACAAATTTCATTTTGCAACTGCTGATTACCCTTTTCTTGAAGTGAAACTTTTTTCTGAAAATTTTATTCAAATGGAAAAATTGTTTAAAAGATAAACCTTCAAGAACACCCTATTAATTCAAATTGTTTTAGATTTCCCCTTTAAAAACTGAAAAGGCTTTACCACTAGGGTAGCTCTTTGTCAATGATTTTATTACACTAGCAATAATTCATGTTTCAGAATATAGTGGGCATGACGAATTAAAGGTTTTGTAACTCGACCACTTTTACTACGGTAACGAATTTTCATAGTAAATAACAGTGGATTCTTGCAGACCAATAGATGAAAAGTCTATTAATAACATTTTTTTTTTTAAATATGAGAGAAAAGCTTAATTTTACTAAATTGTTATATAGTTTCTCTTAAGACAGAATGAATTTGCAGAGTACATACTGAAAAATTCTGCATCAACATTAACCTGGAGTTCATAATAAAATTAATGGAATACATTAAAAGGTAAACTAACATTATTGAACGCTCAAAAAACCCAAAAATGGGAACGTGACATATTTTGGAATGCTTCTAACTTCCGATGACGTATTTACTCTAAGAATATAGTTTCATACCATATATACACAGTTGAAATCGTTTATAACAACTGTATTCACAGCTTTCCGTTGTTATAAGCGATTTCGAATGGATATATATATGGAACAAGTCTAGTTTAGGGTCCCCTCCCGGATCGTTTTGAAATTTTTACCACATGTAGTATACTGCTGTAATCAGGGCCCCAAGGACTACATGTGGTAACATTCAAAACGATCCGTGAGGGGGCCCTAAACTAGACTTAAGCCATATATATGTATATATATATATATATATCTTTATAAAGATAGCTTACTTGCAATGCTTCCAATGTGTTGTTCATATAAAATAGAACTACATTAAGTGGTGCCCTTCGAGTTGGCAAGCTTAGGTGAACTAAATTTTTAAACGATCGTCTTTCAATAAATTGTAGTTGGTATCCATCCATATTTTCACTAAAACTGTTTATTGCTGAAGTTGTCGTGCGTTTATCCTTCTGTGGTTCTATTAGATTTAGTTCCAATTTTCCAGCATGACATTCTTTCAGTAAGTATATCAAGTTCTCCACAAACCCCGAGAAACTGACATGGAGAGACTGGTCCTGTTTTAGTTCCTGGAAAGAGTTACTATCCACTGTGCTTATATACATTTTCCGTTGATCACATTTTTCTGTCAAACGCAATTGCTACATGAAATGCACAATTAATTTCGCTTTACATATTACAGATACCATACTTACAATCAATTCCTTGAAATCAATCTTTTCTGCATAAACAAAACAAAGCCTTTTCAAATGCGCATCGCCACGAAATGTGACCATAACCTCAGCAGTTGGTATTACACATTCAATATTTTTGCTATTATTAACGTTAACAAAACAATCATCTTGCACGATAGGAGCAGGAGGTAGATATGGATTTTGAAACATTATTTGTGTATATTGCAGATTCAGGTCATAGAGTTGTTTGCTAGTTAAAATAAAAAATAAATAACCAAAACAAAACCATAAAATAAATCTATTAAAAACTTGGCACGTAAAAAAAACAAAGTAGGATACATTGAGTGGTTTCTTCATTCAGATCATGGAATTTATAAGTTGCTATAGCTTACCTTGAGTAATTGTACCATGATTCAGATATAAAAATGTAATTAAAAACGAGAAAATGGATGAAACGTAAGGATTTCTTCCCAAAATACAGTAGAGAATAGCATTGGTTTATTCTTCTGTCAAATATAAAATTAATTTAAATAAAAATAATAAACCACGTCCTTCCGGAGTATACATGGATCAGCATATATTCCCATTTGACCAGCATATATTACATTCGAGACATCATATATTCATTGCGTTCATAGTTTGATATCTTTATCTTTACAAACTAAATGCTTTAATCGATTTAACTATAACATCTCGGTTTGTTCCCGCAGTGCAAAGATCTACCACATTTTACTACATCTAGGTAGGTATACCTACTTTTCCAGAGTTATATCGGCACTGCAAAATAAATAATTGAAAAACAACGCGCCTAATGCGACTACCTTGGTACCTTGCGCGCCTTTTGTCCTGTATTGAATAAACCGACCTAATTTAAAAACGTTCCTCTTGCAACGAAGAAGAAAATGTGTGATAACGAACTCGAGACAGAATGAACGCTACCTGCTTTGTTTACGAATGAAGGTGATGCATAACACCGATATCATCGTTTCGTTTAGGGTCTCCATGTCATGGAGGACTCCATGTCATGCAGGACTCTATGTCATGGAGGAATGGGAATAGTTCAAAGGGAAGTCGTGCTATACAACTCTGTCGATAGGGCGACAGAACGCCGCCAATATGCCAGTGCAGCGTCTTTGTCAAATTACAAAGTTGTATAGTCCGCTTTTCCACAGGCAGATTTTTATTTGACAATTTTTTTGTTTTCTCTTTTGAAATTTTCGCTTGCTTTTCCATTAGCAAATTTTTCTTTGCTAAATTTGCGAATCAAAATACAAAAGATAGAAAAAAACGTCAAAAGCGTTTGCATTTTAAAGATTTATTTAATATTGTATTTATTTTTTATATATTTTATTATATAAATTGCAAAAATTAAAAATTAAATTTCACTTGCACAAATTAAAGCAACAGGTTTGTAAACAAAAGCCGGCTGTGTGACAGTAAAACGAATATATAAATCATTATATATATAATGATTTATGATTTATGCCGGACTGATTTATTTGGTATGCACATGTACATAAATAGAGAAAACGAGTGGCCTCTAAACGAAAGTACCACATATCCGTTGTCACAGATACAATTTTTCGTATGAGCTACGCGTTGTGTAGTGGTATTTAGTCTACTAAATCCACTCGATCTCAAATGTCAATTCCATTGTGTATTGTTGTTAATGTCCGTTTAGAATTACGGAATCCACTCGATCTCAAATAGAGTTTTTACAAACCATTGGTCTGTTCCAGTATCTGGGATTATTGGCATGATTAAATATACAAAAAACATGAGATATTTGCCTGTGAATTTTGAGTTTTTAGCGGTACATTACATTTTACACCATGATCCGCGGATCACTAAAGTGAATTTCTCTCTCATTGGGAAATTGAAGCAGTGTTGGAAAACATAGGAACTGAAAGTACGAAATTTACCTTCAATTTTACTTCATAATTGTAAAGAAGTTTTGACCAATATTTATGCCAGTTATTTACAATCAAATTATATATTATAATGTAATCCTAAATTTATTTCGAAGAAGATACGAATTTTAGTAAATTCGTACCTTCTTCGAACAAAAAGTAAACTTGTTACAAAATAAAAAATAGCGCAACTCTAATACAAGGCAACATTCGCGATTCTCGAATCATGATGCGAAATGTAAAGTAACGCATATACATTGAAAGAACAGTGTGGTATCATACATGTGGCAACATACTTGCATAATTTACAATATGGCAACATTTTTCGAAAATACATCCGATTCTTTGCGTCTCCCTCTTCGTTAAAAATAAGACGAGTAAAAGAACAGGAAAAGTTTCTCAAACAGATACACGTGCGCTTGATCAATATAGTTTTAAAATTATTAATATGAAACAAAAAACTAGCAAACAGAATAAAAAGGCCGGCAAGGGAAATACTAAAAATGAGATTGTCGAAGATGAGATCTTACGCACTGAAGAGCCCGTAAACGAAGAAGAATGTGGTAAGTACTGAGGGCTAAAGCCGTGTAGTTTTTTTTCTGAACACCAAATTAAATGTCTATTCAGAGAATAACTCCGAAGAGTCGGATGACCAGGACGACGAAGAACCTACCGAATGTGCCATTGAAAAGGATGAGCCAACCATACCATCTAAAGTGAAGGTAGGCCCAGTTGCAGATGATGTACCTATTGACTGTATTGTACATGTAAACAAACTGCCCAAAAGTAAGTGTTTGTGGAATACAGAATTGTGTAATTGGCGGGAATTAATAAATGTTCATGTGCAGAGACAAAAGTGATCGATATTGTGGAGGTTTTCGCGGAATACGGACCAATTGACACTGTACACATACAAGAAGGACCTGCAGCCTGTACTGCAAATATTGCTTTCAAGAACGCAAAATCAGCTACTGCAGCACTATCCGCAGACAAAGCGAGTATAAAAGGTTCCAACATTTCTGTCACTAAGAAGCAAATATCTGCCAAAAAGCAGAAAAAAACAAAAGAGTCAGCACCGAAAGAAGACGCCCGTGAACGAACTGTTTATGTCAAATTTCTAAAGCGTGGAACCACTGAGGAGCAGTTGAGAGAACATTTTAGTGCCTGTGGTGATATCGAAGATGTACGAATTATTTTAAAAAATTCTATAGCATATGGTTTTGTTGCTTTTACCGAGAAGAAGATGGTGAAGGAGGCCCTCAAACTACACAATTCCATACTGAACGGGAGTACAATTGGCGTACTCGAAAGCAGTGCTGATAACAATAAAGTGAGCAAGCGTGATCCCTCTCTCACTATAGTGTTGAAAAATACCCAAAATTTGGAAAGTGTCGAAGGAGATAAACTTGAGTCAATATTTGAAAAATGTGGTGAAATAGAATCAATGGATGTGGTATGTAGAAAAAATACATTGGCCTTCATTACGTTTAAGGAAAAAGAAGCAGTCGAAAAGGCATACAAATTAAATGGAAAAAAGGTCAAGGACATTTCATTAGATTTGGAAGCATACAATCCCGACAAACCAAAGACATCCATATTTGTAAGCCATATTGGAAAAGGTTAGTCAATAGCTATAATAATAATAATTACTCGTTATAACGAATTTCGTATTATTTTGTAGATGTAACGGAGGAAGACTTAAAGGAGCACTTCTCAAAGTCTGGGGACATATCTTCTGTAATTCTGAAAAAAGGATTTGCAATTATACACTTTAAGGATTCCGATGGGTATTGCAAATCATTCTTGTTGAACGAAAGCATCCTGAAAGGACAAATGTTATTCCTGGAGCCACACTCGATCCGAAAACAAACTATGTTAAAGACAAAGAATAACAAGGGTACAAAACGTCGCTCCCAACAGCCGAATGGTGTATTTAGCGCAAAGAAAACGAAGTCTTCGTGATGTATTTAAATTGTGTCAAGATATTTTAGTAATAAATTTTGGTATAATTTTTGATACCTTGTTAAAAAAGTATTTTCGTTGTGACAACATTAAATACTGAAATGTGACAGATATTGTTGTGACTGCATTTAATATGTTTTTAAATTTGACTAATAAGGTTGCATGACTGTACCCATAAGAGAATGTTTTCTTTTCCAACCAAATGTGACGATATTTTGGGAGTGTATGCATTTTACATATATGCAAGGCGTGCATTTTATTTATTTTCATGTTGCTATAAATTGATCCTGCAATTGATTCAATGTTGTATTTTAAAAGAATTTTAATGATATAAACATGCCAAAAGAAAATTGGTTATGGCGCGTTTCATATGGCTCATTTTTTATTTGAGAAATCCACCCTTATTACTAGTAAATGTTTGTGTTACGTAAATCTTACGACTACGCTAAATTATGTAATAGATTTTTCTTTACACTGTTCCAAAATAAAAAAAATCGTAAAATATTTTACTTTAGCTCTGTTATGAAATCAAAACAAGCATATTTTTGAATTCTTTAAAGTTGAATGGAAAAACTACATAATTTAGATGGCATTCTAAAAATAACACAAATGTTTGCTCCCTCATTCGTTGTTCTACCTTTATGAAATAATTACTAAATTTCACACACAGCATACACCAATGAATTAATCCGTTCATACTATTCTTAATTCATATCATTAGAGTTTATTTTTTGACCTTTTTATTTTACACCGAAGTTTTAATATATTTGCGTGAATCGCATATGGATCTAAATAGAAAAAATAATTCTCTTTCTCCATTTCCATTCCAATTTTATATTTTTTCAATTCAAATATCCTCCTTCGAAATGTACGCACAACACGTGCCCAGTGAAAATAATTACAAAATGTTAAATATTTTGCAGTTTCGTGCCTCTATAATCTATAAATATAAATTGTAACATCTATAGTTATATTTAAAAACAATATTAATCATAAAATGGAGACATTTATTTACAGAAAAAAAACTTTTTAATTTTTTAAAAAATCTGCCATAAAATTTTATGGAATTTATTTTTTAAGCAATTTGAAATTGATATATGTGTGAGTTCCAAATTAAAAAGATTTTGTTCGCATTCTCGCTTTCGTCTTATTCTGAATGAAGTTCGAAAGCGAAAAATCCGCTTTGGCGAAAAATTACTTATTCTGGATTACAGCGAGTAGAAGAATGAGATGACATGTTTGTAATATGTTGTTGTTGTTGCACCAAATTGCATCAGCTGTTTCACATGCCATACTGATGTTGCCATATTTTCAAACTTTTATTTATTTTCTTTTAATTACTAAGCAGTTATATAGCGGATTCTTGATATTTCACATTTGTATTGTTATAAAGTTTAATTAACAATAAAAAGTAACAATTTTTAATAAAAAAATCAATAAATAAAATATTGAAAAATATTACAAAATTAAATTACGGAAATTTGAATCCGCATCTCTCATTTTTTCATTCTCTCTATTCATTCCGAATAAGGCGAGAATGTGAAAGCGATTTTTTACATGCGAAATATCTCCCTAGCGAATAAGGCTGATAATGTATTGATGTGCATCATCACCTTATAATCACCCTTATTGCGGTTGTCGTGTCGTTATAGTGCACTGTCGTATTTATAGGACAGATTGGTATTATGAATGTCGTTTCAATACAATCACCCCTATTCCGTATGTCGTCGTCGTTGTCGACGACGTTTCTCTTTCGACATCACTTCGCATCGACATCGACATCACTTCGACACTGATTTGGTATTCTGTAACACTCATGCGACGATGTCGACTATTTATCGATAATATCAATAAAAACAAAAATTTTGTTGCATATTTTTGGGCAAAAATGTGTTTGTATTCTTAACCGCACTGTGGCACAGGGCATTATGTCTTGGTAAATGTGTTTGCAACGACCAAAAAGAAACGAGATAGACCCATAGTTACTTTTTAGTATATAGTATGTACATAGAATTATTTTTCAGTCGATTTATGCATGTCCCTCCATTCATGTATTACTTTAAACAAGTTACATGCCACCATTATGATCCGAACGGTATGAAATTTGGAAAAAATCCATCCAATTGGGATGAAATTTTATTTCCAAATAGACGAGTCCTATTGACATTGGTCAAAATCGGTTTAGATTTATATATAGATCCCATATATTTTTCTTTATTTACACTTTATTTTGCATTAAGTATTGAATAGATTCTAGAATGATGTATCCTGTTCTTGTCCGGTCATGTTTTTTTTTTTTTTAAAAAAAAAAAAAAAAAATGTTCAAACGCTTCAGTCGTCAACAAAAACTATGACGAAGAAATCTTCGACATCGTCGTCGTCACACATTGTTACGGAATACCAAAAATGTTTCAATAGTTATCGATAAATGTCGACAACGACATAGGGAATACCAATTTGCAAAAGACGACTCTCTTCGACGTCGATTCGTGTCGACGACGACATACAGAATAGGGGTGAATGTTTGCTTTGTGTTAAAAATATATTAAAAAATTTGGCGTAGTCATAAAGTTTACATAATACCCATGAAAAACTACTACGACAACGCCTACATCTACAAGAGTTGGATTTAGAATAATAAATTTTCCCCATGGCGGACTTTGTTCACATTGAAACTTTATTTTTGAAATGCGTAAAAAGCCAATAATGAAAACACAATTCTTACATTTGGAATGCATTCGGTTTAGTCAATATACTAAAATACTTCTAAGGTTTTCATTAAACATTCATAATCAGCCTTATTCTGGATATTTGCTAGGGAGATATCTCGCATGTAAAAAATTTTCGCTTTCACATTCTCGCCTTATTCTGAATGAATAGGGAGATGCAAAAAATGCCGAGTTTTCGAAAATGGTGGTTGAAAAAATGATCGTGTAATCGTAAATTAAGTTGCGCTGTGTGTAGTTGCAATGTGTGCTGCCCCATTGTAATTTAATTGTGTAACATTTTTCAATATATTATTTATTGATTTTTGTTATTAAAAATTGTTACTTTTTATTGTTATTTAAACTTTATAGCAATACAAATGTCAAATATCAAGAATCCGCTGTATAAATGCTTTGTAATTAAATGAAAATAAATTAAAGTTTGAAAATATGGCAACCTACAATATGGCTTGTGAAACAGCTGTTCATTGTTTTGATGCAAATTGTTGCAACAACTACAATAGATTACAAATAAAAGAACATTTTTTTATGATGGCAAAAACACAACGAATAAAAGGAAGAAATCTGCGATTTAATAAATTGATTCACAGTTTATTATTTCACTACATAATTGTGTGCCTTTTTATTTAATTTTGATATTTTATCTCCCCAAATTCTTAAAGTGGTCAGTTATGTTATGATTTGCTCCTACTCCTTTCTTTCTTCCTTCAAATCATGCACACGATAATTTAAAAAAAAAATATTTTTTGTTCTTTCATAATTTTTATTTCAGTTTTTCACTGTTAAGCGGCTCATCAGGCAAATTTGGTTTTTCCATAATTTTTAAAATTTTTTTCTTGAGAGACAGATCCTCACACAAATATCTGTATTTCGCCTCCAAAATGCATCAAACTCGACTTAAATATTCCTTATTACCTTCATACATTCTTGGGCAATACTTGGTTCAGCATGCATCGTTATCAATAGGATTTCCAATGGCATTTTATTGGCTGTTTTCCAGTTAAAAATTTGCTTACTATCATTTATAATATTCTAAATCGTCATAGAATAAGTATTGTGTAAATATTTTTCATAAAAATAGTTATTACTTATGTTTTTGTAGTCAACTCCCCTTAAATTTATTAGCGAAAAATTTCGCACAAAATTTCATCTCATCTGTAATTCAGAATACCTAATTTTTCGCCAAAGCGGATTTTTTCGCTTTCGAACTTCATTCAGAATAAGGCGAAAGCGAGAATGCGAAAAAATTCACAGGAAAATGTTGTTCAGAATAAGGCGAAGGGAAAGAGCGAGTAAATTCACATGGAATTGACATCCAGAATAAGGCTGAATATATAAGTAATCTTAATGTCACCAGTAAGATTTGTTTATAACTTTGACTAAGCGGTAAATGCATTCCGATTATCTCAAGACCTACTATGAACAAACAATTTTTTTACCATGTTTATGCTCAGATCACTCCTTCCCAATTTAAAACACATCATACCTTTTAATCAACATTTATTTGTATTTAATGGTTAGTCTGTCTTGAGTATCTCATATGTATGTATGTCAGTGATTCTCCCACCACATATATGTTATAGTGTTATCGTTTTATGTTAGCGCACCAACAATGACGCTGGAGTCTGTGGGGAAGAAAACTTAAATTCATAACATTAAAATAATATTCTAGTCTTCTGAATAAATTCCATATTTTAAATAGCAGTAAATATAGTATTTAAAATGTTTTTCAGTCTCTTTATGTCAAATTCGGGAATCGGAGTGTATTTTTTTTCAGAAAACTCTGTTAATTATGTTAAGTATTAATGTATAATATGCAGAATAATAAAAAAGAAACAATCGTATTTACTCAAGCAATATATATGAAGAGAATATGCAAACGTTACGTTATTTATCGATAATTTTAATAATTGAAAAATATCTGTTTAAGGCAAATCAAAGAATAGGGCACTAAGTAAGGTGAAAATTCAAGCACAGTCAAAATGATTATCTTTCAAACCATATCGTCCGTCCGCCAACAGACCGCCATGGGTCCAAAAACAATAAAATAAAAACAAACCAAAAATTAAGTAAACGTTACTTCACAAGGTATAATATATATTTTTTAAATACTCGCATACAAAAACATAATTTTTTGCTTCTTTAAAAAAATAGGTAAAACGCGAAATAAAATAAAAATAATACACTGGGAACAAGGAGAAATAACATTGAAATGGAATTTCAGCGTTTCATCGTAACAGGAACAGATTTGAAATTCACATCAAGTTAAAACCATAACAGTCTATAAAAATAACTCATTGAATAAACGAAAAAGGTAAGCTGAAACCAAGTTCGATAAATAAATGAAATAAATAAACGAAACACAAACGAATATAATTGAAAGTTGTATGTATGTGTTTTTGAGTGTTGTTCATTAACGAGTCCTGTAGAGTTGAGTAGTTCAATATTAGTAATAGCGAATATAAATATGCTTATAGAAGACTAAATATGTAGAGCATGCATATAAAAATATAAATTAAAATTTTCTCGTTTTTTTTTTGTTCATAAACACAAACTGTTTTTATAAAAACTACTCTAGATATGATTGGTAGACATCTTCTGGTTAAGAAAATAGTATTAATATTTTTTCGTGATCAGAATACTTTAAAAGAGACTTGGTTAGCAAAACTTGCGATTTTCGTGCTACCGGAGAAAACGCCAGTAAGAACACATGTTGTATGTGTCAGTGTTTATTTTGATTCGCATTATTGCACGAACATGTTGGCAGCTATATTCCCATGAACCAAGCCATGGATTCCCAAGTCACTTTTACAATGAATTCTCGATTTAAGTATGCATCTGTGGTATAATAAATGTGTTTCAAATACTTTTTTTAATTATTAAGTTTCAGGCGATTACTGCAATTAGTCTGCAATCGAAAAAAAAACTATTTTTATCAGAGTTCGACAATTTCTACAATAAATTCAATTTTTTATGATCGGCGGACCAATTGCAGATTGCCACTAAAATTGATTCAAATAAAGGTTCGTTTACATGCAATATGCTTTTACGAGAAAAGCTTTTGATGAGTACAATTTTAGTTGAAAAAATAAGCTCCTTGAGAGTGTTAAGCACTACTCATTTCAACTTGCATTGGTTGTTCGGTGTTGCCATCACCCTCGCTCGGAATTAATAATTCGCTGGTGTTAGGAACGATTTGTTCGCCATTTTCTGATGTAGGCTGTTGGGGCTCGATTGGCGCATCATTGATAGGTGATGCGTTTCCATTCAGTTCCTTCTCTCCAGCAACAGGTTTTGTTTGTGTATTCAATTTGTGTTCGGTAGTTTTTTGAGTGTTGGATTTTGTTATAGGTTTCATTGTAGTTTTAGCACCAATGGACGATGTGGCTGACGACTTCGTAGGTGTCTTACCAGCAACTGGTTTTGTTGGTGACGATTTTCGTTGTGTAGCACTCGTGGTTGTCTTTGATGACGCTTGTGTGGTAGTGGATACGTTGGCTGTGCCACCAACTGTTAGGCGTCTATTGGTGGTAGATGTGGATCCTACAGCAGATGAAGTTGTCTTGGGAGCTGGACGAGCAGTAAATTGTTTGGTTGTTGTAGTAACTGTCGTAGTGGATGTTGTTGTTTTAGTGCGTGATCCGACAGAAGATGACGTCGTTTTAGTCACTGAGCTGGATGTTGTAGTATTTTTAGTTGGGCTTTTGGCTCCTGCAGTCGTAGCACCTGGTGCTGTTTTACGCAGTTGCGACGTTAAAGTGGCGCGTGGTGAAGTAACTTTGGGTTTGGCAGCTGCATTTGCTGCTGAAACTCCAAGTGTAGTTGGCTTAGTAGCAGCCAATGTATTACCGGATGCTGGTCGAGGCTTTGTAGTAGACGTAGTTGTGGCATTTGATGACAAAGGCTTGCGTGTTGTAGATGACGTTGATGCAGTTGTGCGAGTAGTTGTTGTTGGCTTGGATGTCAAAGTCTTCGCATTGGTTGCAGAGGGTACAGAACGAACTGTTGATGTACCCGAAATATTTTTCGTTGTTGTTTTAGTTGTAGACGTACCACTTGTAGTAGCGGTTTTACGTGGACCAGCAACGCCAGTAGTAGCCATTTTAATAGGTTTCTTGTCACCGACAGTAGCAGCACTGCTTGGTTTGGTTGGAGCAACTCTAGGTTTCGCCGCAACTCCAGTTGCTGATTTCAATGTTGTCGACTTTTTAGTCAATGGTGCAGTTGCTGATGGTGGTTTTGACTTCGTTGCACCAGCTGTTGCCTTCGATATAGGTTTTTTAGCATCATCAGCCTTAGTTGCCGTTGATGCCAATGGAATTTTGTCAACAATAGATGAAACTACGGGCACAACATCAGCTGCCTCGTTGCTAGATTTTTCTGGTTCTGATTCTTCGGTAGTAGTAGTTGCTACAACAGTCTGCTCTTCTGATATTTGTTGAATTCCTTCTTCGGGTTTTGGGTGCGATCCGTTAATGTCGTTAACTGTAGATTCAAGTGTGTGTGACACAATGCTATTATCACACATAAGTTTTTCGTTTTCCATTGTATTTTCAAAGGGATTCGAGTTTTCGTGAATTGCATCTACTGCTCCGCTATTAGACTGTTCAATTTCACTCTTCGCATCCAAGGAATTATTAACTAATTCCATCGTTGTGTCGTTTGTAGACACATGTACTTCAGAACTCTCATCATTGATCAAATTTGTTGTTTCCTGTGAGGTTTGTTCTGCGGTATCTTTAGATTTTTCTTCGGAAGGAGTGTCCATGTGTATCTCATGTGATATTTCCTCATGACTTTGATTGTCATCTGGTGTAGATACTTCCAGTTCAGATTTCAATGGATTTTCAAGGTCTAGTAAATCTTCAACTTTTTCTTCGGAAGGTGTGTCCATGTGGGACACATTCGATGTTTCCTCAAGAGTTTGATTTTCATTTTGTGCTTGTTCTGTTCCTTGGGCAGAAGACAAAGGTTCTAATACCTCTGGCACATTATCGGTATCCGATGGTTTACTATTGATTAAATCTTCATTTGGAGATTGGATAACTTCGCATACACTAAGTGGTTCCAACGAAGGTTGGTTCTCACACTTATCAACAGATTCTAATTTTTCCAGCTCATTGATTTCTGATGGGCCAGTAAAAATATTGGAACTAATTTTGTCGCAGGATACTTCGTTAGCAACCATTTCATTTTCATCAATTGACATTTCCTGAATATTACTTAGTAAATCCTCAGAAATTTCCAATGGTTTATATTCTGTTTCCAACAACAAGTGTTCAGCGGGTTTAGTGATGTCTTCGGTTACGGTAGCAGCAGGGGAAGTTTCATCCATCTACAAATACAAATTTCATATTTTTTAATACAAATTATAGTATACAAATTAAGTATTTATAGAAAGATAGTTTTGGATGATTTTTTTTTTTTTTTGCTTAATATGCCGTTCGAAAGAAATTAAATCTTTTTAATTTTTCGTTGTGCGACGCGCACATGTTTGACGTTTGTGGCCTGGTGTGTGGATATTTTCTCATTTGTTGCGAAATTTCGTGGAGTGTGGATCAGCGGACAATGTCAAACATATGCAAAAAAACGTTTTGGAAGATTTTTTTTATGTTTTTTACACATACTCTACAGTGTGGCAATAAAAAATGTTTTCCCTGAATAAAAGAAAAGTATTTAATAAATTTATATTAAATAAAAATATTAGGTCTTTTTTCCGACATAACTATCACTGTCCATCTTAAGGCTTCAAAAATAAATAAGAAATGAAGTTTTGTGGATCCGTTTGACGTGTGTGGGCTAGGAGCTTCACACCGATCGAATGCACATGTTTGACGTGTGTGGCCCACTTTACTAAATGTTGTCTGTTTACCCAAAAATCCAGTGAAAGAGAGCCAAGTGAGAGAGCAATTTTGACAGTTCAGCAACAACAAACTTACTTGAGTTTACTGAAAGAATTTTATGCAGTAAGATTTTGCAAACTCAGCCATTTTTGGATCAGCTGTTTTATGACCAAACACAAAGATTTTTCAAAACATTTTTTTAATTTGCAAAGTTCAATTTGAAATTATGTTGTATAAAAATTACAGAAAATGGAACAAAATTCGTAAGTAATGCAAAGTTTCATTAAATTAGAAACTAATTCCTTATATATTTTTAGGTAAGTTCCAGATAGAGGGCAATATATTGATGCAGGAAACTTAAATGTTCCCGGGGAACATACCAAATCAAATTTACTTTTATTATTCATTTTATTTTTATTATTAAATGCAATACTTTGTGCTCGTCTTTTGTTTTTTTTTTTTGCGCAAATAAATGTTTTCTTGAATCAGCGTTTTATTTGATAAATATTACTAAATGTTGTCTGTTTACTTTTCCCAGTAGACTAGAACTTACTGAATAAATGTTACTGGAAAAGTAACCAGACACACCTATTATTTATGCTACCTGGAGTAGTTTTATCTTTTAAGATATATTTAATTGTGTACGATGTATATTGTAATTCTGTTCGTTAATGGGCTCGATCGCCTGGAATTACATGTGAAATAAACGAAATGAAATTTGTGATTTTGGAACGAGTTTTCAAAGATCGTACATATAAATATAAAAGTCTCCAGAAAAGTAGCGAATTTGTAAAAGTTGTTTTTATACCCTAAACAATTATGTTATGTTATAAGTGTTACGCAGCGAAATGTTGGGTCCACCGTTTAGTACACCGATCATCATAGCTATCGAACAATCGAAAAGGCTACAGGTTTTATAAGTATACAATAATAAATAAATTTAGTTTATAACAGTTGTATAATTTTCGAAGATATTCGTTAATTAACGAAATTGTGAACAAATGAAAATTTGGCAATTTCGTCTTTAAACAGATACATTAATGATTTGCCTACTATATTTAATCTTCGAATTTCAATTCAATTTATTAATCAAACAATTCATCATTGGGACACATTTATTTGATTTGGGCATCTTTGTATGGTGCGAACGAATTAAACTATTTGAGAATTATATGTTTATATATAGGATATTATTATATTGGATACTTAAATTCAAAACACACATTGATTCGTTGGCTGGTTGAGTTTGGGAAACATTACGCAGGGGATTAAGTCTAAAATGGTTTTCTCCCTAAATGGGAAAACATATTTTCCATTTGGTGTGAACAACATTTTAGCTCATTAACTTGATGGGGCTTCTTGTTATACTTAAAAAAACTCCACCAAATCGTGAACACAATCGTCAGATTTTTTATAACATTCGTATGCGAGATCATACAGTGGTGGTCATATCATATACAACTGAAATTGATTATGTGGAAATATGCACCCTTATTACGGTGGGTGTAGTCGACTACGACTTTTTTTGGTGGGTATTATGTAGAATTTACGACATGGTACAATTATAAAAGGTAACAGCAAATCCCAGCTGATTTGATTCCAACGTAATACTAGTGTCAATATGAATTTGACAAATTATGTTTTTAAAAATCACCCAACAGGAAAATTTGATACAATTTGAAATTGTTCATTATTAAATGTGCTCCCGTATTCAATTTACTCAATAAAAATTGAAACACATGAAGAAAATCTTTCAAATTTATATTTCTATCGCTTCCCAGCATTTTCATATGTGTTACACATATATGTGTAACACATTATAGGAAAATGCTGGAATAGCGAGAAATATTCCTTGAAGAAAGATTTTCTTCATGAAACTTTTTCAATTTTTATTTTGAGGATTTGAAAATATTTCATTTTCAAAATAAAAATAATTTGATGATAATTTGTTTGATTTTTAAAAACATTTTTTGTCAAATTCATATTGACACTAGTAGAACTTACAACAACAAATTTCCATGTGGATGTTGCTGTTTTTTTATAATTGTACCATGTATTATACCATGAATTTACGACAACGTTAAATTTTGTAATAGATTTTTTTACTCTGTTACAAAACCAAAGCAGAAATTGTACTTTTAGAACCCTTTTTATATTGTATTGGAAAAACTATATAATTTTGTAATTTTCTGGTAAGTGTAATTCTTATGAATATTGAGAAATGCAATAAAATAAAATCTAACGTAACAGTAATATTGTTAAAATGCAATCTTAACATATTTTTATTATTTTTTTGTATGCTGTCGTCTAAAGAATCTTGAACGACAAATTTGGCGTATTGTAACGACTTTCATCATACCGATTTGTCGTATAAGTGCGACAGGGGCCAATTATCGACACGAAAATCTGTGTGGGCAATTAGAAAAACGATTGGAATATCACTAAGAGACATGTCTGAAGAATATAATGTACCCCGAAATTCAATATCACAACGTCCTGAAAAAAATTAACTGATTTCATGCCATGTTCTGACGGGCATTCGAACAACGTAGTTCGCTCTCAGAATTACGTACATGAATTAACCCGTTCATACAACACTATTCCTAATTCATGTCATCAGAGTTTTTTATTTCAAACTTTTTGTTTCTTGTTTTACGCCAAAATTTAACATATTTACATGAATCACATATGGATATTAGAAAAATTAATTCTCTTTCTCCTGCTAATTAGAACCATATCTATTTACTTTTAATTCATGTTTTCCATTTTTTTCTAAAAATATTGTTGTTTTCATACATTTTTATATTTTCTAAATTCAAATGTCACATATAAAAATTTTATAAATTTTTTGTTTGTCTGTCAAAATTTGTTTCTTGTTTTGTACGCTAATTAGAACCATGGGGAAAGAAATTCACATTGCATTATGTAGATAACAAAATTTGCATCCTGCTGCCTATATAAAAACTAGACAATTTTTTACTTTTCATTCATCATTTTCAATATTACTAAAAAAGTTTGAAAATTTTATAAATATTTTCAAGCTGTCAAAATTAATTTATTTTCGATAATGCTTAGTTGTTAGGGATGGGACAAATTTCTTGGTGATTCAAGAGATCGAACAACGTACAAAAGTCGGTGTTGGCATCACATTGTCATCAAAGAACAATTATACAAATATTTTTTGCTATGAGAGATGTTAATTAAAAAAAAAAAACATAAAAATGGATTAAGTGTCAAACAATCCGGATTATAGAATACGCAATGTTGCGAAAAGTAATACGGATTCGCGAGGTTCGTATTATATCGATGTTAATGTATATATATATAGCCCAATTGTTTTCAGAAGAAAAAAACATTAGACCCAACTCTATCAGAAAATTTACCATTTGCATTGTTATTCGGAGTACATGTTGTACCCTCTCGTTCTTCATAAATTAAGTTGTATGTATACTTCCCATGAACACAGCTTGATGCCATAACGGGTTAATGACTTGTTCATTTAATCGTTTTTTTTCTCTTGCTGTTTAGTAAAATTTAGGAAATTCATTACTCGTCATATTTCTTTTTCTTTTGTATATTACACTAGTTTCATAGGAATTTCTTCATTTCCCAAACCAACAAAAACCGGCGTGTGATTGATGTATGTGCGTGAAACTTTCACTTTTAGTCCCGGACAGGGTACTTCTTGACAGGATAAAATTGCATTCACATACAATTCTTGCAATAACGTATACTATTAATATCTTTAGCAGAAGTTTTATCAATTATACTAATTACCATCAATAATATTTGAACGTTCAATATTTTGTTTCTGACTCATTTCAATTATTCATCATTTTGTTATGTCTTCTTTTGGTAAAACCATTGTTGGTACAAAAGAGTGGAGTTATGTAGTTTGTATGTACGTACTTGTGCGACACATACACACAGACGCTCTGTGAAAACATATAAATTTCTAGAAATACAACGAACGATGACATCAACAGACTGACTGAGTTCCAACCAAACAGCAGCACTGCTTGCAGTAAATTTAAATGAATGCCGGCAAATGAAATTGTAAGACCCAATAGAAAATCGCACACAGTCTGCGCCGCAGAGCAAGGCAATAGCAAAACGTATGTAGCACAACCTTTAACAAAGTCGACATAACATCCGAAATTCGTGGTGCGTGGTGGATGTAATATAACTATGGTCATTCGTATAATTTACTTGTATGTACAAAGCGCGAATGAGTAATATATGAATGAAATGTGGCAACAATTGTATATTTTTAGTATATATTTTTCCAAATGTCCATTTTTGTAAAGCCACGAAATATTCAAAGATATGATAGATGGTTTTGGTTTTAAATATGTAGGAAAGGCAAACGTTGGGGTGTTTGATAGTGGTTGATTGTATGGGTTTCGCACTAATGTACCCATTTGAATATTCTTATTCTCTGAACAACTGCTTCGATCTTGTTGAGGCATTGTTTAAATAATCTGGTTACAATTGATGAAGGTGAACAATCATGTACCACACATACAATTGTGATGGAATAACTCTCTCCATTCCAATTAGCTCCAAAACCAACGATTCGTCATTCAACGTTCGCAAGATGCTATGAATCCATCCGCATGCGACGCACATTATATTTCCAACAAATTCTACTAATTTGTTAGATGTCAACAATAATTCCCAATAAGGTCAAGCATAATTGCTACGATAAGCAATTACCCATAACAATATTCTATTACCATACGACTATGTAAATGCTTCCCAAAGTGTAAATTGTTGGGAATTCGAATGGGTATGACGGCTTCAAATTATCTATTTTAAAATCGTGATTACAATATTTTCGATATTCTTCAAGTTTTATAAGAGTTGATCATGATGATGAGATAGGATATTTTCAATTTTTAAGTCAAACAAATACATACCTGCATACATTCATCATCAGCATTCAATGACATTTTGCCCATTTGGTCTTCCAAGTCGCAGTTTTCCTGAACAATACTTATAGGCGTCTCTTTGGTTTCTTCCATTAAATGCTTCTCATCGACATGTGATGGATTTGACAAGGTATCAACATCACCCTGAATAAAATCGTCTATTATTTCGGAACAGGGTTGATCAATACTGCCACCAAGCGTCGATGGCAGTGGCTGTTCGTGAGAGACTTCTGTGGGACAAAGGAGCTCCTCCTTTTGGACATCCCCTACAGATTCATTTGTATCTTTGATCATCTGACCTTCGGCATACATTAGGTTATCAAAGGTGCCACTATTCGATGGCGGAGCATTTTCAAGTTCGACTTGCATTTCCTCAGTAGATGGAGAATTGGATATATGTTCCTTTTCTTCTGTTTGCAGTTGTTCTTTCTCACCAACGAAGTCTTTCTCAACAGTAAAGTCATCCATGAATGAATTGTTGACGCTATCAATTTCTGTTGGTATTGGTTGAACGCTGTTTAAAACATCTTCAATAGGCTCATCACTTGCCATGTATATTGACTGTTTCATAACATCATTTTCGATTAAGGATATCTTTTCAAATGCCTGTTCTTTGGCCATATCCTCATCAGGGTCAACAGACGTCTCGGGACCTTGGTCTTCGTTCATATCTAATATGGGTTCGCTGCTAACTACTTCAGTGTTCGGCATATCAAATTGCATGTTGTTATCCGATAATACTACTTCGTCTTGTGTTAATTCATGAGGACGTCTGTCAGCTTCCTCATCGAATTCCTGTTCGGCCGGTAAGGAGATGACATCCATGTCCCCGCAGCGACCTTTTCTTGGGCTGTGTGCAACAAAATCATCATCATCCATTAGACGACGAGGTACAGCCGACGGGGCTTGTCCAAAGAAGTCGTTACTGTCGAAATTGGACGACATAATATCGTTAGGATGTGGCGAAAGTGGAGATGCTGGATTGGACCCGAAATTAGGGACAAATTCTTTAGCATCTGGATTTAGTGGGCAATGCGTTCCCTCAATATTGACATTTGGTTGTAATTGTATATCCATATCGCCCAGGGGCGTCGAAAGCTCCTTAGTCTTTTCCATTCCGTTCGCAAACTGTTGTGCCACGTTTTCACTCAAAGAACTTGTGCCATTCGAGGCCAACGAACTTATGTCTTCCTCATCACCACCATTGGCAGAGTATTTCTTGTTCTCCTCCACCTCCTCCTCCTCCGACTTTTCAAAGCTTAGTGGGGAATTTGTGTTTTGAGGATTATTATTGATATTTTCCATTACTTGTTGTTGCAGTTCTTCAGTCTTGTTAATTCCATTGTGTTCGTCGTTGGAATTGGTACTCACAACATTTGCGATTTCTTTTTCATCTTTCATGTCAACAGCAGCAACATCGCCATGGCCAATTTTGTATTGCTGTGTTGCCTCTTCATTTTCTGCCAACTCATTGCCGCTGTTGTAATCACCAAAGTCTTTACCACCCGTCTGTTGTTTTTCGCTCTGTTGCACTTCTTTAACGTACTTCAATTCGTCATCATCGCCAACGTCATGTTCTTCGGCTTGAAGTTGTTCATCGTATTTAACGCCCAAGATTTCGCCACCACTGCCAACAACATCAGCAACCCCAATACCACCACAGCCGGCAACGGCGTTCATATTATCTATGACAAAATTTTGTTGTCTGTGTTCTAAAAATTGATCCAAAATTTCATGGTCCTCCATTTTACTTAAGTGTACCCTGAAGTTAGCAACTCCTTTTTTTCTGCTTGAGCCGATCCCTTTTCTCTCGCCGCTCTCTTTTTAACACCGTTTACACCTAACTTTTGTCCTGCGCCACCAAGATGGTTGGTCGTTTCGTTCCTGCTTTTCCTTTCCTTTCACTTCTTCTTGTCGACAAATAGTCCTTCTTCCTTACAACCTACAAAGGCAAAGAGAAAAGAAAAGCGAAAATATGACTGGACTGTATGACTATAATAATTATAAATATAATTTCTTTCATTCGAAATGAGTGGTCCGTTCGCTCGCTCACTCGCAGTAAATGCAAGCACAAATTTGTTTCGCGTGATTCACCTTTTATTTTGCCGATTCTCTTTTGAAATGTCTTCTATTCTTTATATATCTATTTTTACATACACATATAATTTTGCACGCACTGAAAAATCTGTATAATGTTCAAGCGGAGCACGTATTTTGCATCCTACAGGAAGATAAACTTTAGAAAATGTTTTTTTTTCATCTTTTTCTCATTAACCAAGACCACCACCACCATCACTGAATGAACTTTGTCTATTTTTAAATTGTTAATTTGCAAATGGAGAGAATTTGAAAAGACGCGCCTACTTTTTCTTGCTCTTTTCTGGTTTCGCAATTTGGCAATTGCCGAGTTGGTAACTTAATTTAATTTCTGTAATGTTAGTGCACTCCAAACTCACTGTATGTTCCGTTGCGCTTTTTATTTGTCTATATACGTATGTATTTAATTGTTTAATTATTAAACAATCTCTCTCGCTCTTATTCAAACTCCTTGCAATACTGAAAATACGCTTAACCAACCACACAAGCACACAATGAAGTGAAGTGGAAGAATAAAAGGGATAAAAATTAGTATCTCCTATTTATAGACTTTTGCCAAACTCCAAGGTCGGTATGGATAAATCCACTTTGCCGGCGAACTCAACTAAAAACTAGCTTTGTAAAAGTGGATGATTGTTACCATATTGTCCGAAGCAATAATACAAATTAATGAAACTGTCATGGTACAATTATTTAAGGAAGGCTAAAGCATATAATAATTTTCTTTTTTTTCATATTGTGGTTTGTTATGCCAAAGTCGTATAAAAATTAGTAACTACATGTGTGATGTTTTGAAAAATAAGAGCACTACCTAAAATTCAACTAGGGTGTTCGACGTTATTCACCACATAAGTAAAACACATGTATTTATAAAAATGTTACCGAAATACGTAGACGTACGAATTTTCGAAATTGAACAAATTCAACAATGACAGAACTTAGTTTGGTTTTTTTTCTTCTTTTGTTGACAATAGAAACGAAACAGAAATAATATGAAAATTTCAATAAAAATGTAAAATATTTGAATATATTTTATATTTTTTTAATTTTGTTTTAGGTCGTAAGATATGTCAATTCGACGTATTACAGCCTTACCTAAAATTCAACTAGCTCGTTCGACGTTTTTCACCCCAAAAGTAGAACACATGTATTTTTATGAATGTTACCGAAATATGTCGACGTACAAATTTTCAAAGTTGAAAAAATTCAACTATGACAGAATGTAGTTTTGTTTGTTTTCTTTTGTTGAAAAAAAGAAACTAAACATAAAGAAATATAATTTTTTTCAATAAGAATATCAAATATTTGAACACATTTTATAAATTTTTAATTTTATTTCGCGATTTTGTTTAGTTCGCTAAGAGAAATGGATTCGACGTATTTGAGTAATACGGCCGTACAAAACATTTTGCCATAGTGGGGAAGTTGAATATTTTTGTACGCTTCGTTGAATTTTAGGTAACGTTGTTAGGGTAATACGGCCCTACAAAATATTTTGCCATATTGGGGAAATTTAATAATTTTATACGCCTCGTTGGATTTTAAGTAACGTTGTAATATATAAACAATTTTATTTGTTTAAAGTTGCATTTTATAAAAGGTCGTTTACATTGAAGCGGATTTGGTTAACCGAGTGGGTTTAAATTTTTAATTCCTTTGAGTGTCTTTTATTCAAAAATGTAAACAAAACATACAAATTATAAAAAATGATTTATTTTAAAAACGAAATACAGTACTTTTTACCATGGTACAATAACAAGAGGCAATGATTAAAAACGATAGCCATTTTAGGTTCGTTCGTTTACTTTCCAAGTAATATTTACTCAGTAAGAATTTGCAGAGAGTAAATACGAATTTTTCCTTTTCAAGAGAGAAAACTGCAAAAAGTAAACGAACAACATCCAGTAAAAAGATTGTTTCGACACAGCTGATTAAAACAACAAACAAATTGGCTCAAACTAAAAAACAGCATTTTTATTAGAAAAATGGATAACAAGCGGAAAATTGATGTTGTTTGTTCCCCACAACCATTTAAAAGTTTGTGACCTGTTATTCCTGTATCTGCAATTGATATTGGGGTGGACATAACCGATGGTGTTCCAGACATGTTAGGGATGCACACTTTTTTGTTTGGATTTGGAACCTAAAAAATCGTTCGCCAATTACTCTTGTATTACCTTATTTTTAAATACTTGCGTTTTCTTCATCCATTTTGGTATTTAATGATACAAAATAATATAAAATTCACAAAACAATCAATTTTCTTGAGAACAATTTTTTGTTTGTTTACAAAACATAACAAAACAGCTGATTAAATATCAGCTGATGGTACAAGAAAAGTCTTACTGAGTAAATTGTCCTGGTATGAATTTGCAAATACTCAGTAACACAACTGTTAAATCTGCTCTCTCAATTCACTCTCTTTTACTGGACTTTTGGGTAAACGAACAACATTTTGTAATAATTTGTTCAAATTCGTACAAATTATTGAGTAAACGAACGAACCTTTTGTGTGGTTTGCGATGATGTTTTAAAAAGTAAGACTGTTTTTAATTTGATATTCCCTGTGCAGCTAAATTCAAGAATTTTAAGTAATGAGTCGGGATAAGTTCAAATATGTTTTGTGTGTTTAAACAAATTTTTTGGGAGTGAATCTGTAAAAAAGTACCAAAGAAATGTATTTTGGGTAGCTAAATCCAACTATACAGCTACATCCATGGTACAATAACAAAAAGTAGAAATACTTGACGAAATTAACTAATACTGTAGTCTAGTGCAAAGTCTTAAAATGTCACATTTCCAAAATTTTTTGTTTATTTGACATATTTTTACAATTCTATTAAATACGTAAAATATCGCGAAACGTGAATGGAATGTCAAGTTTTTTTCAAAGTTTAGGGTTGAAAACTTGATTAAATTATATTTCTTCCCTTTTATTTGCAACCTATTTTGAAAATATATATACCAATTGATTTATTGTTTTGACAGAAAAGGAACACCACAAGAAAAAAATGTAATCAGTCGGAATGTCAAGTTTTTTTCAAAGTTTAGGGTTGAAAACTTGATTAAATTATATTTCTTCCCTTTTATTTGCAACCTATTTTGAAAATATATATACCAATTGATTTATTGTTTTGACAGAAAAGGAACACCACAAAAAAAAAATGTAATCAGTCGGTACCACCAAACTACCTCTTGTCATTGTACCATGGCTAAGCTATGTACAAGGCAGTTAAATCAAAACCTCAAAATAAACCTGAAAAAATGGATGGCTGAAGGTTTTGTTTATTTTTCATGTCAAGTTTCTTTAACAGAAAATACATTTTAAACAAATTAAGCAAAATGAATAAATCCAGTGGATTATATTAGACGTATACCGTATGAAATTGTCATTTGAGATTATGTGGATTTCGTAAATATAAACGCACTTTAAAACTTAAAATATTAATTAAATCAAAGGCAATTTTATTTTTTACAATTCACCCTTAATACTTTTTGCAGTATTCTAAGGCTATAAGCATGGTACAATAATACAAGGTAGGGCAGCTTAAGGTGAATAACAAAAAAGCAACTATGCACGTGTGGCCTCTTCTGCCAAAAATAAAATAAATATATGCAACAACACATAACTAAAAACGCTAAAAGTGAATGAAAGGTTATGATTTCTTCCCAAAATTCAGTAGGGAATACCATAAAATGTTTGTTTCATCCATAACAAAGTAATTAATTCCAGACGAACGTGTTAAAAACTTTGCTTTCATTTCAATTAAACTTGATATATTTCAATTTATTTTGAATTTATCTGACATTGTATTCAAAACAAAACACACATACACAAAATATGTATTTTGATTTGATTGAACAAGCCACCTTAAGAAAACATTGTATTCAGTTGGTAGCTGTAATAATTATACCATGGGTATAAGTATATTTACATATACATATATAAAAATACACCCAAATTGTTTACACATAATTGTTACACATGTTTGTTAGTATAAATACAAAATTATTAATTTGCGCCAAAAATATTTGCTTGCAGTATGAAAATGAAATGACGAATTACAACAATGGAAATGTTTTTGCAATGCTGTGATCGTTTAGATAGTAAAGGGAAACACCTTAAAACACACAAATTCTATAAATAATTTTTATTTTCCTTTGATCTTTCATTTTTGTATTTGGCAACCGTTTTTTTCGTACAAAAACAGCGTTGCATCTCAGTAGTATCATGATTTAAAATAAACCCTGCCGCACGATTATTTAAATTTGTATGATAAATCATGGTAAATTCGGACTATGAACCCTGATTCAGCCCTTAATCATGATTAAAACGGCATATACATTAGAACTTTTTACGGGGTTAATCTACTTTATGAGGATTTATTTGGCATATATGCAAAGGAATTGACAATTGGAACCCACTGGGTTAACGAAATCCGGTTAAATGTAGACATATTATAGTAGTACGTTTACATTGTACCGGATTTCGTTAACCCAGTGGATATAAATTGTCAATTCCATTGTACATATGTCAAATAAATCCCCATTAAGTCGGCTAACCCGATAAAAAGATATAATGTAAATACCGTTTAGATGTTACATGTAAATTTATTTTTCTTATTTTAACGTACTTTATTTAAAGTATATTTTTAGTGTAGTTCCGGCCGTTCATTTTACACTTGAAATAAAATGTTTGCAAACAGGATTTGTTTTGGAACGCTTAAAACTCCATCTTGTTGTGTCACGTTTAGTTCTTTTGCATTTATTATTTTAGATCATTGAACATTGTTCGCCGGTTAAGTCCTGTCTATAACCTCACATCATATCACCATTGCCCGTTGGTATTCGCCAGAAATCTGTCCACTTGTGAAATAAGATGGAAACGAAGAAAAACTGCCGAAGAGAAGGTAAGAATAACAAAAATTAAGAATTTGGTTACATTATTACCGGTTGTTACATTACAGAAATCTCCGAAAATAATAGAATATTCTCCGAAAAAGAAGAACACAGTAGACCTACAGGGAACTGTTGAGGTTTGGAGGCACATGACCGTTAAACAATTATCAGAGTCAATGAATAGATCATTAGGTATGATTTGAACTCAATTTATATTATAAGAATATGCACGGTACCTAGCAGAGGAAGGAATGCCACAAATATGGGGCTTTTCCCAAAACCGCATTCAATTGTAATAAGCATGTGAATTGCAGCTTTATTGCAAAAAAAAAATCAAATTGTTTTCAGTCTACATCTATTTTCGGCTTGGTCGATATAGCTAGCCTTTATACTGAAGTTAGGGTTTACAATAATTTACCGAATACCACACTCGAATTGAAATTTATAGATATTATTTGATTGTTAAATTTAAGATGATGTACAGGAAGCAATGCTCTTTGTTAAGGATGCTGATAATATCGAACCAACAGCCCAATTACACGACATAAAAATTATACAAGAAATTGCCAAAAAGTTGGGCACTCGCATTCGCATTGTAGCTGAACCGACGCTTGCCGATGTAGATGTAGAGTGTAAGGACAAAGATGTAACGCCAAGACCTCCAGCCCCTCCTGAATTATTAAAACCGCGACCTCCAGTAGTAACTGTAATGGGTCATGTCGATCATGGCAAAACGACTCTGCTTGATTCTCTAAGGGGTGCCGACGTTGCATCTGGCGAAGCAGGTGGTATAACACAACATATAGGTGCGTTCACAGTTACTTTAGAAAATGGTGATAAAGTAACATTTCTCGACACTCCTGGCCACGCTGCGTTTAGTTCAATGCGAGCAAGAGGAGCTGTTGCAACAGACATAATCGTACTGGTGGTTGCTGCTGAAGATGGAGTAATGGCCCAAACAAAGGAAGTTATATTATTGGCAAAGGAGGCTCAAGGTAAATTTGTCATAACATTCAGTGTTCTATTAATCGTTAACCTATTATCCGTTTCTTCTTAAAGTTCCTATAATTGTAGCTATCAACAAGATAGACAAACCCGAGGCAGACATCGTGAGTACTGTGAAATCACATTTAGAAATTTCTCATAATATGCCAGCTATCTTACAGGAAAAGACAAAGCAGGAACTTTTTCAAATGGGGTTGCCTTTGGAAGATTTTGGTGGAGACATCCAAGCCATACCGATTTCAGCGTTAAAGGGTACCAATCTTGATTTATTGGCAGAGGCTGTTAGTACCCAGGCTACACTAATGGGCTTGAAAAGCGATTATACTGGATTTATGGAAGGCGTTGTTGTTGAATCAAAAACGGACCCACGTAGAGGGTATGTTTATTTAACAAAAATTATGTACATATTTGTAGTTTTCAACAGTCGTTATATCAATTGGTCAATTGGCTAAGGATCAGATTTAAATTGAAATACTATATTTGTTAATCCAAATTATATCACATTTTAAAATACTTTTATTTATTTGAACTGCTTTAACATGTATACTAAGCCTCCGGGCCAAATAAGAGGATACATTATGCTTAACTACTTCAACAAACATGCCCATACTAAAAGCAAAGAAAAAAACTAATAATATTAATCTTATCTAAAAATCACTATATTCGATATACTTTGCAGAATATGATATGAATATATATGATCAGGGTCCGTTGTGCGACAAAAGTCGCAATTTGCAACCTTTTTGATGCCTTGTAACTCTGTTTGCAACTTTTTAAGCTTTGTGCGACCTTACTTTCCTGCTTTTGTTAAGTTATATTTTCCTTTTTATGTGTAAATTCAAACTTATTTTGATTCGTCTACTTCATTTTTAAAGTCCAAGGCTTTCTGATATATTCTAGGAACAGTTTTATTGACGATTTTACTTTTCTGTGCGACTTTTTTCGAGGGAACGATTTTTTGTGCTACTTTTTTAAAATTCCCAACGGTAACACTGTATATGATAATAGACTTTAATTATATGTCATATGTTGATGTAATTAAATATCATAAGCTAATTATCATTTAGAATAACACATAATACATTTGCAATATTAACCATGTCTGTTATTTCAAGAAAGCTTTCAACGGCGATTGTTAAAAGGGGTACTCTGCGTAAAGGATCTGTTCTTGTAAGCGGCTTGGCACATGCCAAAGTACGAGGCTTATTCGATCATAATGGTAAACCAATGGATAAAGCTGAGCCGGGAACGCCTGTAGAAATTCTTGGTTGGCGAGAACTACCATTAGCAGGAGATTTGATTCTAGAAGTGGAATCTGAAGTATGTATTCTCGTTTTTTCTCCTAACTTACGTTAATTTAATTTAATCCCTAAGAAAAAAGCCAACTCTGTTCTAAGATATCGCCAACACGAGGCACAAAAAGAGAAAGCTGAACAGAGTTTAGATGAAATTAGAAAAAAAGAAGAAGAACATTTGGCAAAGTACCGAGCAGAGCGGGATGCACGTCGACTGGCAGGTCGATTCCGTTTGCGACAGGGTCCACGAGCGAAGGAAGTGGTAGATGACGATGGAACTCCACGCGTTAGTGTTATTGTGAAAGGAGATGTTCATGGATCCGTAGAAGCAATTTTAGACGTGTTGGAAACATACACTGGCCATGACAAATGTCGCCTGGACATTGTGCACTACGGTGTTGGCAATGTATCAGAATCCGATGTAGAATTAGCCAAGTCGTTTAATGCAATTATCTATGCATTTGCCGTAGATCCACCTGCTAAGGTTTCAAGTGATGTGTCCATACGATTGTGTAACATAATATACCGGTTAATCGACGATTTGAAAGAAGAAATAAGCAGTAAACTTCCACCAGTAGAAGTCGAAGAGATCTTGGGAGAAGCCAATGTTTTGCAGATGTTTTCAATTTCTGAAGGACGCAAGGAAGTGCCGGTAGCGGGCAGTCGCTGTACAAAAGGCGTTTTGAAAAAATCACAAAAATTCCGTCTCATTAGAAATGGCGAAATTATATATGATGGTAAACTGTCTCAATTCAATATTTGTCATTTTCTGTAACAGCTGACTGTCGATTTTTATAGGTGCTTTGGAATCCATGCGTCACTTAAAGAATGAAGTAGATACTATCAAGAAGGATGTAGAATGTGGACTGCGGCTCAAGGACACCAAAGTTATACCACAGGCTGGTGATATAATTATGTGCTATTCCACTCGCACGGAACCTCAGAAAACAGATTGGGACCCAGGATTTTAATAAAACCCTTAATGCGGAAGGAACTCATTGTCACTACATATTTTGTTACGTTTGAACGATTTTCTAGTATTTGCATTAAAACAATTATCAAAGTTCTCCTATTTTGTATTCAATTGAAGAAGGAATAGTAACAACATATAAATCTATTAATTGAATAATCACTGCCACCGTAAATATCGCTGTTTATGGATGATCTGCAACTAATTGCTATTGTGTTTCTGAGGTACACGGCAATATTCTATATAATAATTCATTGATAAACTCATTAACATAAAAATAACAACTAATATACAAAATAAAGGCGCAATCGTTCCAAGAATTGCTAAATATCTATAAATATTTTGAAAATAAATATGTGAAATAAAAACACAAAAATTCACTTCAAATTCTTTTTTTTTTGAAACTCCCAATCTTTTGACTTTAAGGCTGTATACAGCAATTAATGTTAAGCAACAAAATTATATGTTGTGAATTACTAATGGAATTCTCGAATTACATTTGATATGTTTTGAATGACATGTGAAAAACGTGTAGACAACTGGCAAGAACATGTGTGGTAAAATTATACAAGATAATTGCAAAACCCAGCTGATTTGATCCCAAAGTAATAATATGACAAATTATTAGATTATATGAATAACATTAATATTCGTATGTTTTTTATGACTAAATAGGGTATATCACTTTGCTACGGCAAAAAGTGCCTCATCGAAATATTGGTTTCGACCAATATCCGTTTCAGACAATTTGGAGTCGATTTACATGTCCGTACGTCTGTCTGGCTTATAATGACTTTCCTACACAAACAACACTTGCAATTATTTCTGTGCAGTCAAGTCAAAAGATACTTAAATCGCTTATCTGTCTCAACGTGCACGTAAGTGAAATCACTGCATAAAAATAGGACAATGTTAAATTTGTTTAAATACGCGATCAACGCTAAAAATCTAATTATGAAACAGAAGGACTATTGTTTTTGCCGCTGTGAGGATATTCGTTTTAACAATAAAATTTAAGATTTTTCAAAAAGGGTGCAGTGAACGCTTCATATATACTTCAGATTTAAATTTAGTTCGCATATAGATTCGGTCAATAGTATCTAAAAATAGCCCCAAATATCCGACATTAACAACGATATAATATAATTTATAAATATTTCATTGGACATTTAAGTTAAGTAAACTGTAAATCAGGCGAACAGATTTTGAAAATGAAAATATATGACTCAAGAAAAGATAAAAATGTATATCATTATTATTTTCATATTTTACACGACGGGAATAGGCCATATAAAAACTACAATAAACAATAATCATGGTATAATATCATAAGGTAACAGCAAGTGTTTTTTACATTAATCGGAAACAACAACAATATAGAAATTTACTAATGTCTCACGACAGCTCGATTCAGAAAACTTGGACTTCATTCACTGTTCTTAACATACAACACTTGCATTCAAAATCAAAATATAGAAAATAAATAATTTTTTTAGTTATATAATGGTCCTTTCATTCAGAAAATTGTTGTTTATTAATTCACACTAATATTACCCTCAATAAAATGTCAAGCAGTTATCTTGTATAATTACACTGTGGATCAAGGTTTAAAAATATAGATGGCTTAAGATGACATATTATAGAAATAGATGACATGAATTTTATAGATCACTGCAAGTTAAAATATATGATTGTCCTCTAATGATTTCCTATTATGATTTCTTTGATCTCAGAATAGACAATTGGACACACGCTAAAGGTTGTAAAACAAGATGGAAATCAAATACATGATTTCCATGTGATGATAATACAAAAAAATGTAATGTCATTGTTCGATCTCCCATCCGTTTGTCGATCCTTAATTATAAAATAATTACTTAGTCCTCCACATTGCACAATGATAAATGTAGAATTACTTGACTGAGGGTTCCTGTTGGTACATAGAGGGAAAGTACCGCACAAAAAGTTTACGAACTGTGGCCATAATTTGATGTATTGTCCAGTTTTACTGTTAATGCGAAATTAAAGGCAGTCACTAGAAAGCTAACAAAATTATAAATGTTTTGGTAAAAATGATATAAAGAAAATCGATTTTGAAAAACTGGACTTTGCATTTTTCTCCAAGATCAAAAATTGACTTTAACTTTTTTTGATTTTTTAATCGATTAGTCGAAAGGATATTTCATCAAGCCTTTCGCGCTAAATAAATAAAACAAATATTACTGCTTATTAAACATTTGTGAATGAATTTTCCCGTTTCGTCGGGTGGACGACGTCAAGATTGCTACATTTGTACGTACGTTCATTCATCGTGACCCATTTTTATTCTAACTTTGATAAAAATTCTGTTTTGCTTTCAATGAACAGCATACATCGTTACAGTAACGCTGTGTGTATGCATCGAAGAAAAATAACGATCATGGTTACTTCGAACAGTGAACAGCAATTTTGAATTCTGTTGCTGTGTTTTGCTGTTATCAGTCCTTAGTTCCGCTCACAGTGATCTCGATTTGCCTGTATCGCTTTTTTATTTGTTGTATGGAGTGTTGTTATCCTAAACAGCTAGCCAGCATGTGGGTGAAGGGTGACTGCCATCCATTGGCGTTCACAACTTGTTGTTGTAAATATTAGTAGATGAATGAATGATGAATAAAAACACATTTATTCGAAAGTGTTATTTTTCAATGAATCGCTACGTTTTTTCTATTCTGTTGTTGTTCCTAATTATATAAAACGGATTTGTGTATAAATCAACCATTAGAATATTTTAACCGGAAGTTAGTTTTGTTTAAATTTGAAAACTTCTACCACGATAAGAAACACAAAATAATATTTTATAAAAATAAGATGTAGTTCTAAATTTAAATAGGATATCAGTTCGATGTTGACAATATCCGGAAATACGACTACCGAGTTATTACGATCATTAGAATCATCACCGAGCAAATGCCTTACATAAATCCCTGTAATTTTCACGTGTTCATAATTTTCCAATATTATTACATATACATATGTATAAAATATTGGATAGTTTGAAACACGCAGTGGTTTTATATCGTACAAACGTCTTTATTAAAGTTCTTGAATGGAATGGAAAAAATATTGAAAATATTTTTTCACATAAAACATGTATATGTATATATATCAATGTCTACTAAATTTCTCTAAACAAGGTAGATATATATACAGTACGATATTTGGTTATACATTGTACACCAACACCCCTTCTCAATGTATCAGATATAGTTAACGTAAATACATATGTATATACATTTAAAGCTAAACTGATAATCCAATTAAATATCTAAATTTACAAATATTAATTTTTTGTAACGGTTTAGTTAAAATATCAGCTAACATTTTATCTGTTGGGCAATATTCGTAGCTTATTTTTTCAGACCTTCGCAAATCACGAATAAAGTAATATTTAACATCAATATGTTTGCTTCTTTGATTAATTTTATCTTCCTGTAGAATTTTGAGGCAACTTTGGTTATCTTCATACATTACTGGATTGGATATTTTGATTCCAAATTCTTTCATTAATTGACAAATCCATAACATTTCCTGCGATGCTTCCGCTAAAGCTACTAACTCTGCTTCCGTTGATGACAAAGTTACGTTCGATTGTTTTCTACTTGCATAGCTTATGATGGCGTCACCAAGTTTAAATACAAAACCGCTTGTTGATTTTCGATCATTGGCATCTCCAGCCCAGTCAGCATCAGCATATCCTTTTAGATCCAAATTTGACTTAGAACCAACACACAATTTCAAATTTGGACTGCCTTTCAAATATCTTAACACTCGCTTGACTTCTGTCCAATCTCTTTGACTTGGTTTTTCTATTTTTCGAGATAATATGGACACAGCAACTGAAATATCCGGACGTGTATTATTTGCAAGGTATAGCAGAGATCCAATTGCCTTTCTATACAAATGATTATCTTCCAGCAATTTATCATCTTTAATATCCTTTAAATAACCCGGATCCATAGGAATTGGAGAAGTTTTTGCATCAGATAGCCCAAATTCTTGCAACAACTTTGTAACATAATTTTCTTGACACAAATAAAAAACTCCATTTTCGTTACGTGTAACTTCAATTCCCAAATATAATTTGATATCTCCTAGTTCGGTTATTTCAAAGTTCTGCTTAATGGTTTTTGTAACTGTCCTTATTTCCTCGTTACTTTTACTGGCAATAATGATATCGTCTACGTAAATTAAGACATAAACAGTTGAGTTGTTCAATTCTTTTACGAAAAGACATGGATCAGCCTTTCCCCTTCTGAATCCAGAATTAACTAAAACATTGTTTATTCGCAGATTCCAACAACGAGCTGATTGTTTTAGACCATAAATGCTTCTTTTCAATTTACATACCAAATGTTCTTTGCCCTTTTCAATGAAGCCTTCTGGTTGCCGTATATAAATTTCAGAATCAATCTCACCATTGAGGAAAGCGGTCTTTACATCAATGTGTTTCACGTTCATATTTTTATAGCTTGCCACTGCTAATAGAGTCCTCAACGTTGTTTGCTTTACCACAGGCGCAAAAACTTGATCATAAGTTTCTCCGTACTTCTGGGAATATCCCTTTGCTACATATCTGGCCTTGTACTTGGCTCTGTCGTCAATGGTTTTCTTCACTTCAAAAACCCACTTACAATCAATCAACTTGTGTCCTTTAGGCATTTCCACAAGATCCCATGTCTGATTGTCATGTAGCGACTTGATTTCCTCATTCATAGCTTTCATCCACTCCTTGCTGTCGGATTTCGATACAGCATCCTTGTAAGAAACAGGATCATCAACATAAGAAACTTTACACGCATATCTTTTAGGCGGTACATTTTTGTTTGCTCTCGTTGAGACTCTTCTTTCAGCATTGTGATTTGATGTAACATTTTCAAGAACTTCTTCTCGTTGCGATTCATCAGAAGATGACGTAGAATTTATTTCATCTGCAGACTCAAAACCATAAAACTCGTCTTCCTC